TTATGTAATAAATTTAAAAATTTCTTAAAACTGGAAAAATAATTATATCATAACATTCAAATTAATAATAATTTAATATTTTATAAAATTAATAACAAAAATATGTAATAATAGTATAAATTATAATTTTGTGGATTATTAAATTCAATAAATAGTTAATATTTTAAATTTTAAATAATGATATTATTTAAATAACTAAATAATATTAGAAATAACTAACTTCACTTATATCAATTAATCATTCTAGAAAATAACTTTCAAAAAAAAATAAAGTTTATTAATGGTAATTTAAAATCTTAATCTATATTTATTATATACTTATATATATTAAAATCAATATTTGTTGTGTATAAATCTATTTTTGTTTTGTTATTTAACAAAAAATTTTCAATAATTATTAGAGGTTAAACTTCTATTATTTCACTTTTTTAAGTTTAATTTATAGTACCTACTGTATTTGTTGTATTTTTGTTATAATTTATTGATTAATATTTTTAAGAGATTAAACTATTATTTGAGATTACACTATTTGTTGACTAATTTGATATTTTTTTGGTATTTATTGTATTTTTGTTATCATTGTATTTATTGTATTTTTATTAYCAATATATTTTCAATAATTGTGTATTATTGCTATAAATTTTCAATAATTATTGGAGATTAAACAATTTTTATTTATTAGAGATTAGACTATGAATATAGCTAAAATTAGGAGTGTTCACATGTTGGTTCAGTTCRGTTGTAAGTTGTTTGGCCAACCAAATCAACTTGGTTAGGTTGGGGAGTTGGCCACCCAAAACTAGGGATGCAAACAGATCGGATCAGATATGAATCACGGTACATCTGAATCCAATCCGATATTGGTAATTGTAGTTCTTGGATATGATACCCGTGGACCCTAATTTTGAATTTGTTGAGGAACTCAGATTTGTGGATCTGATCCAATCCAATTTGATTTTTAAAAAATTAATAAATTATTAAAATAAAAATAAAATATAAAAATTTAAATAAAGAAAAACAAAAACTACAAGTATCTTTTCAACTATTTTCATCATATGTATACATGTTTTATAAAAAATAAATAACATAACAAATTTACAAAAATGCAATATAAATAATATATCTATAGATGAATAAATAAGTAACATATCTATGTGTGTTAAATATATTTATATAAATAAATAACATAAATATCGAATTGAATCTTGTCGAATCATATAGGGGTTGGGTGACCTGAATTTGATATG